GGGCCCGGGACCAAGATGAAACATTTCCGGGGTAAGAACAAAATCTCCATAGGGCCCGAGCCCAAGCCAGGATGAAAACTTTTGTTGTCAGATTTAGTAGGAGACTTAATTTGGAGAGCGGCCGAGTGGGGGTCCCAAGTGGGGGAATGTGAGGTGTTGCCCCGGGGCCCTTACTGGCTCTCGACGCCACTGAGTCTACCCAATTAAATATTGAATAGCTTTATATTTAAAACGATCAAAATCAGATGGAAGCAAAATAGCTTTCATTGATTTACAGACGGTTCTACAAAAATCCTTAAATGTTACCAACCAATGAATCATGCAAAAGAATACAGAAACGCTCACTGTCTGTTAATAGGCGGGGGTTTTTTTCTCATAAAAAAAACTTTTAATTGTAAAATTGTAAGTTAACTGTGTCCTAAGTACTATAGAAATTTGTTTCCGAGCATTTCTAAACGTCCTTCAGAATCAGTACTACTGAGTTTTGTTAATAAGGAGCATACAATTGCGACAACACACATCATACTGTATTTAAGGCCTAACTGTAGGCCTAGGCCTACTCAAATACGGTGCCAGATTCAATATTAGCCTACTCCGTTTTTTCCATACTTTCGAAGACCATGCTGTAGGCACATAAACTAACTGATCTAAAATAGCACCCTCTATAATTTCTGCCGCAACTACATGGGGGGAAAAATAACGGACTGACTATACGTACAAGCAACCAATTAAGCTCATTTTGGTATCACGTGATTAAAAAAATTAATTAATGTCGAAATATTGAATCCCGACACGATAGCGTGCATTTTGATACTTGGAGTATGTATTATACTATCTTATCAGGGGAAAATGTATTTAAAATTAGAAGAAATTGGTTGTATTAAAACTATAAAAACGGTGATGCAGTACGGTAACTTGAGTCATGAGAGAGTACAGTATTTCCTTAAAGGCCCTACATATTTCACTAACGAGTTACTAAAAATTGATCAGTAATGAAATGTTCGTGTAGGTCTACATAGTTCGGGTGCTCAATTTAAACATAGGCCTATATTGAAACCCAAATAGGCTTTATTAATAATATTCTTGCTTATGTACATGTATTATCATGTTAGTGTTTTATAGATTATTGGGAATGGTAATAACACCGAAAAAATAAATAAAATGACAGTTGAATGACCAAAGACAACTGAAGACAATTATAGTTCGTCATTAAAAGTTATCTAGTATAACTTTATTCGGAAAATTAATCTCATAATCGAGTTGCCGTCCCCGGCGTTGTCAGTGACGTCGTTGATTTGTGTGCGATTTTTACCAATTAACCCCATAAGTAAAAAATAGTTGAACCATGTAGTACCTTGCAAATCAACCCACAAACTCGGTAGTTTGTTGATTGTTTATTGGTAACGTCCCTTCGCTGCCAAAAATAGTTTTTTGGCCGTTGCGTCCCCAGTGACATCGTGAGGGCTGGTTACGATTTGGTGGCACATCCATTGAGCATTTTCATTCATCTGGCTATGTAAGTCAGTGGCGTGTCTAGATGTCTTGAAATGGGGTGGGGCTGGGGGGGCGGGGGGGGGGGGGGGGGGGGGGGGGTCGATGATCAGTTGAGGGACGGTAATTCGCAAAATAAGTTGATTTTAGATGATTCTTAACTACTTTACCGTGATTTGACACCAGTGTCAGTATAATCTTAGGTAAACATGTGGTTAACATAAGCAAGAATTTAGTCCAATGAAACTGTTTATCATCTTGTATATATACCTTCCGATGTTATGTGGGTGTTTTATAGATTATTGAGAATGGTAATATCACCAACAAAAAAAAAATAGATAAAATGACAATTGAATGACCAACAAAGACAACTGAAGACAATAGTTCGTCATTAGAAGTTATTTAGTATAAATCTTCTCGGATAAGGACTATATAACCATAGGCCCAGTGTATAAAATTGCTCGTGTACACTATAAAGAACCCAGTATATCCTTCGAGACGAGTAGGGGGTTACCCCGGTGTACTTGAACAGACAGCAACTGTATTGACGACGAGAGTTGCTGGTACCGGGTAACCGGTTAGCACAGACACGAAGGGACCCTCAGGGGTGAAGAAAGTCATTGATCGAGTTCCTAGTCCACATATCAAGCGCCCTGAGCATCTTACATCAGATGGATATGTGCGCTATATAAAACTACACTATTATTACTATTATTATTATTATTATTATTACTTTATTCAGAAAATTAATCTCAGAATCGAGTTGCCGTCCCCGGCGTTGTCAGTGACGTCGTATGATTTGTGTGCGATTTTTACCAATAAACCCCTAAGTAAAAAATATTTGAGCCATGTAGTACCTTGCGAATCAATCCAGAAACATGGTAGTTTGTTGATTGTTTATTGGTAGCGTCTCTTCGTACTAAAATAGTTTTTGGCATTTGCGTCCCCGGTGACATCGTGAGGGCATGGTGAAGGCTGGTAACATCGATTGAGTATTTTCAACCTGACCACTTTTTGACAGATGACAAGTTAACTGATTAAGTTTTGAATAGGAAAAAAGGCTAAATTCTACCTGTATGTTTTAGACTCAACCTACTCCTTCTTGACATTACTCAAATTGAACCACAAGTCTGTAAATTCTGGGGTGAACAGTTAATGATAGTTTACATTATTTTTTTCTA